GCTCTATTTAGGTGTATAGGTATTTATGAATTGCACATTGCTATATGGAGGTGGTGAAATTTTCCCAATGAGAATAAACTTTGATGAACACTTATAGGTTTATAGCTACACAGTAAAGTGACTATGGCCTTGTAGTTATATAGACTGTAGAGAGCAAAGTTTTTTGGATGGACTGAAAATCTAAATAAATAATAAATGATAATATATTTATTCAGAACAAGGTGAAAAAATTTGAAGGAAAAGGGAAACTGTGGCCACTGGCAGCTATTGTCTATAAAAACTAGTGTTGAACAATGACTAACATGCAATAAAGGACAAAAATCTGTTCACACACAGAAGCTCTTGCCCCAAAATCATACAACTCTAGTGTTTAGTCTTGCTATGTGAAGTAGATTGATAGAGTTTTTATTTTTTATTTTTTTGGATTCAAGGTTGGATTTTGTACTTTTTTTTCAAGTGTTTTATATTTTGGGGGGAAAACTAATGACATTCATATACTTGTACAATACCAAGAAAGTTGTAATCCCTTTTAGGGGTTTGGCTTTGAAGTTGAGAAAGCAATTATACTAATGTGTGTGTGTGAGTGTATTTGTTAACAATTGTTATTTCCCCCCCTTTTTTTCAGTTTGCTCTTCTTTGCTTTTATATTTATTAAGTATCTCTTTTACTGGCAAGCATTGCTCTAGAAATTAGGATCACCCCAACTCTGGATCTAATTTTATTATTCTATAAAGAAGTATTCATTGTGCCAAGAAAATAAATAGAGGTGTATATCAATCTATCATTGTTTGGGTGTAAATAATTCAAACTGAGCTTGAGCTCCTTATAGTATTGGGCTCGATTCTTTCCTTTAGTTAACGAGACAATAAACGAACTTCAACTCACCTTGTTTATTATTATCAATAGTCAAATTCTAGCGTTTCATTGTCAAACAATAAAAAAATATATAAATGTTCTTATTTTCGAGCCAACTGGTTAATCGAACAAGTTTTAAATAAACTTGAACTCGACTCCTTTCATTTTGCATATATACTTATTATGAAGTATAGAGAGGTTATCTTCATGTTTAAGAAATGTGTGCCCATGAGTATTATTAGTATTTTAATGTTAACATAGCATTTTTTTAGTATATGTCTTGTTATACATCATTATAATTTATAAGCATCACGGGATAATTATTGTGTAAATAATATGTATAATATTAAACGTTATTAAATAATATGGATAATATTAAACGTTATATATGTAAGAGCAGGTAAATGACCAGTGGCTCGATAATTGTACAATAGGACAACTTGTTAGGCTTAATTAAATTTTACTAGTGGCAACTTCAGTTTATGGATGGGCCATAATGGGGTGAGCCCATCAGTGATACTTTAGCTCTTTTAGTATAGGATCAATGTGACCCAACTTTAGCCATATCATTCACGGCCTAGGCCCTTCAGTTTCCTTCCATCATAACAAGCCCATTTTTTATTTATTTATTAACTTTTTTTGAATACTTGAACTGGCAAGATTATTATCTTGCACAATTGGTCCCCAATTAATTAAAAAATTGAACGATCTCATGATAATTAAGTAATAAAATACCATTGAGCCATTGACTTTTAAGCCCATTTCTTATCCACAGCCATGCAAATGTAAAGTTAACTTTGACATTTATATTAAAAACAAAAAAAAAAAGCACGACTTTACACTTAATATTTCATTCTCCTTGTAAGTTGTCATTTAAATTTATTAATTGTTAACCTCTTTTGCATTAAATAATTAATTAATTATGCCAAAGCTGTCACTTAATAACTCGTCCAGGACTCATATAATAATATCTCCTAATTCAGATTACACATAGAGGATCACATATATTGTATATTAATTCAAAACGTGCTAAGCCTAAGTGGCAAGCTCGCATGTTTTGGATCCTATGTGACAAAATTACATGCTTCATTATTCTGTTTGGTGGATTTTAATTTACTTCCGATCCAAAAATAATTAGATCCGGATTATCTATAAATATGTTGATTATATATGGTCATGTTACATGTATTAATTGCATTTTAATATCATTTCTTATTATAACCATTTAATTGTAAATGTATTTTAAAAGTTAATAAATTTTGTATTTTTTTTATCAATTTTACATATATAATATATCAAATTAATAATCTCTTGATGAACTTCGATTTAACATCCATATTGTATGTATAAAAAAATAAATTATATTTATCTTTATAACAATAATAAAATTATTTTTTAATATTAATTAGAAAAATAAAATTATTTATCAATTAATATATTTATATTTCAATTAGTTATATGGTATAAGTTATAAAAACTGTATAATACTATACATGTAAGTCGCATAAGTAACAAGTGTCATTCTAAAATATATAATAATATATATTTTTTTGTAAAAAAGGTAAACAAATTTAAATAATTTTTTTTCATTAATTTTAAAATTTAAGAATAATTTTTTAACGCCCGTGTAATACATAGTGTATTTTATTTGTGGTGAGCTTATTTGGGTCATCATTGTTATTGTCTTTTCAATTGTGTCAATCATAATTTAACAGGTTATCACAGAATGTGAAAGTTTATCCACATGTACGGTCATATTTTAGTTTCACTAACCATCTCAAAAGGTCTACATGAAATAAGCAAGATTAAAAGTAAAAAAATAAAAAATAAAATCACAAAAGAAACCCACAATAGAAGAGATCGTGGAAAAAATATGCTATACGTTGTAGAAAAAAAAAATTACATGTGAAAATTCTGCCTGTTAAATTTAAAAGTACTTAAATTTACATGCTAAAGAGAATATATATAATGCGAAGTTTCAATTATGGAAGATCTTTTTGAAAACTGGAAAAGGTGGGATGAACAAGTGGAAATGTTGATTTTAGAA